GTAGACCTCATCCTGGAAACATTCTTGTATCAACATGTTAAACAAGCTACGAGGATGAGGGAAGGGGACGTTCCCTCCATGCTAGATTTAGTATTTACCAGGAAGGAGGAAGAGATATTTGACATTCAGTACCTTCCTCCCTTGGGTAAAAGTGACCATGTCTTTTTGGGAATAAAGTATGCAATGCGTTATAAGCTGGAAGAAAATAAGGAGGTTGAAGCAGTTGAAAAACCAGACTTCAGGAGAGGACATTATGGTGACCTTAGAAATTTTTTTAGTGAGTATAATTGGACAGACTTGATGCTAGGCAAGAAAGTGAATGAGATGTATGGCAAGTTTTGTGAAATATATGATAAAGGCACAAAAAAATTTATACCAAAACAGAGATGCAGAACTAGGAAACAGGATTGGTTCAATAGAAATTGCGAGAGGGCTAGAGACCGAAAGACACAAAAATGGAATCAATACAGGAAGAGGCCGAACCCCCAAACATACCAGCGATACAAAGATGCGAGAAACAACTACACGGCAGTGAGGAGAGAGGCAGAAAGAAATTTTGAAAAAGGGATTGCAGACAAATGTAAAACAGAACCAGGTCTATTCTATAAATTCATAAACAACAAATTGCAGGTAAAGGATAATATTCAGAGGTTGAAAATGGGAAACAGATTCACGGAAGATGAAAAGGAAATGTGTGAAACACTAAACGAAAAGTTCCAAAGTATGTTTGTACAAAATGAAATCTTTAGGGAACCAGATACAATAAGAATTCCAGAGAACAACATAGAGCACATAGAGGTGTCTAGAGACGAAGTGGAAAAAATGCTCAAGGAGCTCGGTAAGAACAAAGCAGCTGGCCCAGATGGCGTTTCACCATGGGTTCTGAGAGAATGTGCAGCTGAGCTCAGCATTCCACTTCACCTGATCTTTCAGGCATCCCTGGGCACAGGAATCGTAGCAGATGTGTGGAAACAGGCTAACATAGTTCCAATCTACAAAAGTGGCAGCAGGGAAGACCCCCTCAATTATAGACCTGTATCATTGACAAGTGTAATAGTGAAAGTATTGGAAAAACTAATCAAAACTAAATGGGTAGAACACCTAGAGAGAAATGATATAATATCAGACAGACAGTATGGTTTTCGATCTGGAAGATCCTGTGTATCGAATTTACTCAGTTTCTATGATCGAGCCACAGAGATATTACAGGAAAGAGATGGTTGGGTTGACTGCATCTATCTGGACCTAAAAAAGGCTTTCGACAGAGTTCCACATAAGAGGTTGTTCTGGAAACTGGAAAATATTGGAGGGGTGACAGGTAAGCTTCTATCATGGATGAAAAATTTTCTGACTGATAGAAAAATGAGGGCAGTAATCAGAGGCAATGTATCAGAATGGAGAAATGTCACAAGTGGAGTACCACAGGGTTCAGTTCTTGCACCAGTGATGTTTATTGTGTACATAAATGATCTACCAGTTGGTATACAGAATTATATGAACATGTTTGCTGATGATGCTAAGATAATAGGAAGGATAAGAAATTTAGATGATTGTCATGCCCTTCAAGAAGACCTGGACAAAATAAGTATATGGAGCACCACTTGGCAAATGGAATTTAATGTTAATAAATGTCATGTTATGGAATGTGGAATAGGAGAACATAGACCCCACACAACCTATATATTATGTGAGAAATCTTTAAAGAATTCTGATAAAGAAAGAGATCTAGGGGTGGTTCTAGATAGAAAACTATCACCTGAGGACCACATAAAGAATATTGTGCAAGGAGCCTATGCTATGCTTTCTAACTTCAGAATTGCATTTAAATACATGGATGGCGATATACTAAAGAAATTGTTCATGACTTTTGTTAGGCCAAAGCTAGAATATGCAGCTGTTGTGTGGTGCCCATATCTTAAGAAGCACATCAACAAACTGGAAAAGGTGCAAAGACATGCTACTAAGTGGCTCCCAGAACTGAAGGGCAAGAGCTACGAGGAGAGGTTAGAAGCATTAAATATGCCAAAACTAGAAGACAGAAGAAAAAGAGGTGATATGATCACTACATACAAAATAGTTACAGGAATTGATAAAATCGACAGGGAAGACTTCCTGAGACCTGGAACAAGAACAAGAACAAGAGGTCATAGATTTAAACTAGCTAAACACAGATGCCGAAGAAATATAAGAAAATTCACCTTCGCAAATAGAGTGGTAGACGGTTGGAACAAGTTAAGTGAGAAGGTGGTGGAGGCCAAGACCGTCAGTAGTTTCAAAGCGTTATATGACAAAGAGTGCTGGGAAGACGGGACACCACGAGCGTAGCTCTCATCCTGTAACTACACTTAGGTAATTACTAATATGTGCACCATACTTTTGAGTATAGCAATGCTTCACACATTTTATTGTATAAATATATCACATTACACACAATTGAAAAATAATACTGCAAACAAAAAAAAAGAGAGAGAAATCAGAGACATGGAAATATTGTTATTAGGTATTAATTGTGGCAACTCCCGCCTGAAAACTCAGGTGGAGCAGACCGCCCCCGACGCTTTCTATGTCAATGCCTCAATTTTGCTAGACTTCCTCACCCTATTGCTGCCAAAATATGTCTCCTACAATTTTTTTTTCCCGTGAACAGGGAACACATTTTAACAATCTTAGAAGAAAACAAAAATTGAATTTCTATTTTTGCTTGCGCCTAGAATTTGTTGCACTCTATAACCCCAAGCACCTTCCAAGGGTTAAGGGGCCATTCCAACTTAAACCTAAGACATAGTATGTGCTCCACTTGCAAGTGCCTGAGTTCCAGCCAATTCCTTACATGTAAGGGGTTTGAGTGGAAAATGTTTGCTTTCTTGCATGAAGGTCATTGTTAAAGTTTAGGAAAGTGGAACCCCTCTTGCACGATGAATGGGGAAGGAAAGTGACATCCTGGTCTGCAAGAATCGTGAAGGAAAGTAATGCCCATGCTTGTGAGAAGCTGGAAAGTGACGTCATGCATTTGTGGTTGTAATTAGTGCTGCATTCCAGACCAAATAATGTTGTGTAAATATCCCTTTACCCTTAACCCTTTAACTGCGCGGCCTATAAATATGACATCCCCTCAGTGCGCAGGAAATGAAACCTTGGGAAAAAATTATTTTTTCTTCGGAAAGTGTCAAAAACCCCTCCCTGTATATGGGTATAGCAACGGAAGTTCGAAATTGTACCTACTTTGGCTGCTATGGGCGTCCGAAAGGTGGGGCTAGACGTCATCATTCCCCGTGCGCCAGAGCAGTATGCTCCCAGGGCCGGTGGGGCGCGCGAGTTGCCGCAAAGATATTTTTGTTCATTTTTTGCGCACAGTTCCAAATACATTTTATTTGTTTTTACGTGCTAATCCTATGTATAATGAACACGTACACTACATTATGGCAGTAAAACATCTGTACTGTCTGAGGACATTGTGTTACGTGCATGACACTTGTGTACACATATGTTGCACATATTTGCCATGTATCATGCTAATTTATGTATATATACAATCTATTTACAGACTATACACTGTCACACACTATATACATTCACCATCAACACACTCAGAACACCACGAGTGTGAACAGCCACACCCAGCCAGCCCTCCCTCACTCCTCCAACATCTTACTCGTCAACATTGCTCCTCCCACCATTCTGTTATTGTTTTTATTACACTAATTACATGTTATATATACCTATCTACATGTTTTATTTACCAGAACTATGCAAGTAAGCCGGTATTGTGTCCAAACAGTACAGTGGCCACCATACACTGCATGACAAATCATACAGCAGACAGCAGACGATGCCACGATTACGACGTCGCCTCCCTCACCAAAATAGCTCCTCACAACATACTCCTGGTGCTGTTATTACACTATATACACACTGTATATACACATGTACATGTGTTCCCCATAGCGAACCACGATGCTAGTATGGTGAGCAAAACAAGAGTTACTGCCACATAGTGAGGCTACCTCAATTCTCTCCCTTGAGGTTATCTTGAGGTTATCTTGAGATGATTTCGGGGCTTTAGTGTCCCCGCGGCCCGGTCCTCGACCAGGCCTCCACCCCCAGGAAGTAGCCCGTGACAGCTGACTAACTCCCAGGTACCTATTTACTGCTAGGTAACAGGGGCATTCAGGGTGAAAGAAACTTTGCCCATTTGTTTCTGCCTCGTGCGGGAATCGAACCCGCGCCACAGAATTAAGAGTCCTGCGCGCTATCCACCAGGTTACGAGGCCCCTTCTTCCCTCCCTCACCAAAATTCCTCCTTCCTACGCACAACGCTAATTATAACCACAATTCTGGTCACTAATACCTGTAAATGAATAATTGACCACACGTTTATTTTGAAAAGGAACCTAAAAAGTCGTTTGAAGATTCCTAGATGGACGAAATAATGCTGTGGTGCTGTGGCTAGTGCTGTGAACATCGTGAACAGCATTGAATCACTGATATTTGAACATTGTACCCAGTCATTATCACACTCGGGCTCTTCTATAATACTATCATGGCTAAATAAAACAGATTATGTATATATTTTGACAATATTAGGCGATGCTGTGGTCACACACTGAACAGCAGTGCTGTGCGCTCATGCTGCGAGCGCCAGCCTTGGTTGCTCAATCACTATTGAGGCTCTGACACCCGGCAATGTGGACCATGATTTTTTTTTAAAGATGGCATCTGTTTACAAGAGCCCTGAGGAAGCTGATGTGAACCCCATGTAGCCGCGGGAGTTTTGAATGGAACGTGAAAAATAAAAACACCCGGAGGCGCATTGCACACCTGAAGCCTGGGCCTGCAGGCCCGTTGTGCAGTTAAAGGGTTAAACAGTTAATCAACTCAACAATTAAAAGGTTAAAACGCTAATGAAACATCTTAAGTTTTTGGAACATAAAGTACATTCATTTATTACCACAAATTTTATGATCTTTATTATTTTTATTAAACTCTATTATTTTTCCCAGGTGTGTTGGCAGAAGATTCCATAATCATCTCTGGCTACTAACATGAGAAGCAGTTACTACAACCTGAAGCAGAAAAACAGCATTATATAAATATTACACATAATGACATAAAAGTTGGATATTGGTACACAAAAAAACATTAAGTGAAAATGGATGAAATGCCAATCTTACATCCTCAAGATGATTCAATAATTTTACCATTACAAAAAAGTATGCCAGTACTAGAACCTGAATTTTTATCACATGGTAAAGGAATATTGCCAATTTTGAAAGAATTTAAGGAGCCATTAGAAGAAAATCTGATGCCTTTATGTAATGACAGAAAGCAAAATGTTAAAAAAAGGCCAATATCCAAAACCAAAGATGAAGTTGAAATGATTCCTTGTACTCAATATGTTCAACACCTTGCATCTCGCTTAGAAGATAATGAACAAAATACAATTTCACATGAAAAGCAGGAAGTTGAAACAATGGCACCCCTGAAGAAAATCAAACTAACTGAAGACTCTGTTAGTAATGATAGTGACGAGGTCATGTGGAAGCTCTCAAGATGTCAGAAACATGGTTTGCCATTTGTTTTACAGAAACATATGAAGTGGTTCAAAGTACTGCTGTTGAATCGTTTTCAAACACAAGGCACAAATTCTAGTTTCAACGAGACATTTGCTGATTATATGCGGTTGGTGAAAGTTGAGGCAAGTGTTGCCAGAATATTCAACAGTCATAAAAAGGAACCTGACCTAGGCTTTACTACTGAATATCTTTTTTCGCATACGGTTGGGAGCTATGTAGCTGATGTTTCCCAGTTACAAGACTTGCTTAAAAGAAGTCCTCTCTTTTATAATTCCACCAATGGATTGTGGAAGAAGCAGTTTAATAATGGTAAGTGAATTTAATTGTTTGAAGAGTTATAATACCATCTGTAGTACCCTGTATTTGAATTTTCATCATAACCCTGATAGATTTTTAACCCTTGGACAGTGGCTATGAACTGGTCATATCGCCTATGCACAAAAAATAAAACACTTCCAAAAAATAATTTTTCCATTATAGAATTATTCATTTATATGCAAAATGTAAGAAAAACATTAAAATATGCGAATATTTATAGTTTCACTGGATGGAGGCACTCTGCAAGGCTGTGTTTGGCTCATGTCAACACCTGGCGTTCAAATTTGCTGACGCTTCTTGTTTTATCCTTGGGTGTTTCACTGATTGTTTTATCACTTATTTTTCTTTATTTACATCCACAGAGAGCTATTATATTCATATTTGCATCATATGACGATGACCACATTTATCTAGTAACATTCTTGATGATAACTACATTCTCCTGCAATTCGTCAAGTCATCTTGGAGTGTGTGCGCATGGGCGTGGTCGAAACGACACCGTCCCTCAGGTGGGTTTCCCGGCTGTTTCCAGTGCCGAAACGGGACTGTGCGGATCTGAGGTTCATTCTGGACTTGTCCCGTCTGAACCCCTGGATTCCTTGCCCCTCCTTTCGGATGACTACTGTCTCAGGTTAGGCTCCTGTTAGAGCTGGGTGCCTGGATGGTGTCCCTGGACCTCAAGGATGCTTATTGGCATGTTCCTATGCATTCGGGGTTCAGGGACTGGTTAGGTTTCGTGGTGGGGCGTCAGGCTTACCGCTTTCATTACCCCTCTTTTGGCTTGAATCTGATACCTTGCATTTTCACGCGTCTTACCCGGGTTGTGGTGACCCGTCTGCGTCTGTTAGGGATTCGGGTTTTGGCCTACCTCGAGGACCGGCTGGTGTGGGCTCCCAGTCAGTCAGCTTGTCTGCTCGTTATGGTTCTTTCCCAGGATAAAACAATATGGATATGGTTCTTTCCCAGCTCGCCAGGTTCGGGTTCCTGGTGAACTGGAGGAAGTCCCGTCTGGTTCCGTCCCAGGTTCGGACCTGGTTGGATCTTGTTTGGGATTCTCAGACCGCTTCCTTGTCTCTCCCTACAGAGGCGTTGCTGTTGGCTGTATCTGAGGGGGTCCCGGGTCACTTGGTGGTTGCTTGAGCGGTTGTGCGATAGACTGAACTTTGCGGTGTTAGTCTACCCACCAGGTCAGATTTGGCTTCGGCGTCTTTTGGTTCCTTCAGGGATGCCCCTTCTGCCTCTCTCGCAATCATTGGGTTCTTCCTCCTGGGGCCTTGCGTTGGTTACTGCATCACCGGCTTCCTTTTAGGGGTTTTCGGGGTTCCGTGCCTTGGCGCCTTCCCGAGCCTTTGCTCGATGTGATCACGGACGCGTCGTTTCTCGGCTTTGGCTTTGTGATCAGTGCTCACCAGGAACGGTGGGATCCGTCCTTCCGTCGGGCTCACAGCATGGTTCGGGAGTTCGTGTCAGTCTGATTCGCTCGTCGGAGGGGTTCGGTTCGCTCGGGGTTCGACCATCCAGCTCCATTCGGACTGTTCGCCAATTGTTCATTGCTTGAACCGCGGGGGTTCTCTTTGGTCCTTGCCTCCTTGGGGTTGGTCCCTTCGAGTGGTTCGTCTGCTGATTCTCAGGGTTTGGTTCTCTGTGCGGTTTATATCCGGGGAGTGTCCAACGTCCTAGCAGACGGCCTGCCTCGCTTCATTCCCCTGTCTTCGGAATGGACGGTCAACGACGACCTGTTTCGTTGGAGCTGCCACGGACGTGGACCTCTTCGCATCGGTGTAGTCTCGGCGTCTCCCAGTCTGTGACGCCTTTTCCCATCTGTGAGGCGTTCGCGGTAGATGCCTTTCGGCAGGACTGGTTGAGGTGGAGTTACCTGTACATCTTTCCCCCGGTCCAGCTGTTGCTTCAGGTTCTGGCTCGGTTGGAGACCTTCCCAGAGAGAGTAGTCCTTGTGGCCTCTTGGTGGCCGGCCCAGCCTTGGTTTCCGGCGCTGTTTGTGCGGTGTTCCATTCAAGCAGTACATTCCCTCAAAACAAAACCGATTTGGCCTGAAATTTTTTGTTCTTTGTGATTGTGAGACAGGATACGTGTTACACATGATTCTGTACTCGGCTAGTGATGTAGACATTCCTGGTAAAGACGAACATGGATTCTCAGGGAGTATAGTGAAGTCCATAATGGCTCCGTGGATGAACAAGGGACACATTTTATACACGGATAATTACTATACAAGTTCCTTGCTAGCTCGGTTCTTGCTAGAAAGTAGAACCGGTTTGGTTGGTACAGTAAAGCCACAACGAAGGGAAATGCATGCGTTTGACAACGACATTGCAGTTGGTGAGTGTCAGAGAAGGAAAAGTGATAACATTCTGTCAGTTCGGTGGAAAGACAAAAAGAGAGGTGAACTTGTTGACAACAATTCATGATGGAACAATGGTGAACAGTGGGAAAGTGAACCATAAAACAAACGCACCACTGTATAAGCCAGACTGTGTTTTAGACTATAATATCAACATGCAGTTGATTGATAAATCAGACATGATGATTGGCACTGCAGAGTGTGCGGAAAACATGCAGGTGGACGAAAAAAGTGTTCTTCCATCTTCTTATCTTGAGGTTATCTTGAGGTTATCTTGAGATGATTTCGGGGCTTTAGTGTCCCCGCGGCCCGGTCCTCGACCAGGCCTCCACCCCCAGGAAGCAGCCCGTGACAGCTGACTAACTCCCAGGTACCTATTTACTGCTAGGTAACAGGGGCATTCAGGGTGAAAGAAACTTTGCCCATTTGTTTCTGCCTCGTGCGGGAATCGAACCCGCGCCACAGAATTACGAGTCCTGCGCGCTATCCACCAGGCTACGAGGCCATCTTGTGGACATGAGCATGCTGAAATGTTTCAACATGTATCTTGTGAGAACTGGACGTAAGCCCACTTTCCGTGCCTTTGTATTTGATGCTGCAATACAGTTATTAGGAAAGTTTGCAAAAGATGTCCCAGGGATTCAGCGGCCCATCATAAACCCACTGTTGCAGCATGCTGGTACTCCATGCCTCGCTCACACTGAAGGCTTCCTAGCACACAGACTTAAGTATTTGCCACCAGCTGGGAAGCGTGCAATAGCCCAACGTGATTGCTTGGTGTGTAAAACAACGACATATAGAGATCAGAAACGGAAGCTTGTGCAAACATGGTGGAAACGTGTGGTATCCCACATTATGTGCTGTCGACTGCTTCAATGACTACCACAGTCTAGAAAACTTCTAAGTGTGCTTCAAAGTGTGTATAGCGTGTGTGTGTGTGTAAATATCTAAACATATAAGCAGATAGCGTGTGTGTAAATATCTAAAAATATAAGCAGAACATACAATATAATAGACTGTAATGGCATATTATATTGCCGTCATTGAAAACATTTGTGTGCGCCTGTGTATACTCAAATATGCAACAATTATTGATATAAAATATGTTCAAACATTATATGGAACACAATTAGTGAAAAAAAATTGGATAAAATGTGCTTAGACATTGTAAATAAATAGCGCGAAAATATATTTGTGGCAACTCTGGCTGCTTGAGGACCGCGCGCAACGCCTCGGGGGCATGTACTGCATGAGCGAACATGCAGATTGTGACGTCATCGCTGATCTTCTCGGCTCTATTGCAACAAAAGTAAGTACAATAGAATTTTTTTTTTATTTTTCCCATGATCAGTGAACACAACAGATTAGCAAAAAAAAAAAAAAAATTTTTTTTCTTCAAAATGACATGCGCCTGTGGGGAACAAAGGATATTATACCCCTAGCATGTTAAGGGTTAAAGTCAGCCAGGTACCTCCCTGTGATTTATAAGGACCAGCCAAGTGCGTGGATGTCTCGAGTAATATTTGTCAAGTGGTTTAATAAGAACTTTGTACCCGAGGTGAAGGAGCACCTGAAAAGTGTTGGTCTCCCGCAAAACAGCAAAGTTGTGCTGCTGCTAGATAACAGTTCAACGCATCCACGAGGTGATGAGCTTGTAAATGGCAATAATATTGGAACGTTCTTGCCACCCAATACAACTTCAGTGATCCAACCCATGGATCAAGGAATAATTAAGAACCTTAAACACCACTACAAGAGGATGTTTGCCAGACGTCTTAATAATCAGCTTGGAACACTTAAGGACTTTTATAAAGTCTTCACAATAAAGTCAGCTATCTGGACTATTGCTAGTGTGTGGGATGAGGTAAAGCAGACAACACTAAGAAATGGTTGGAAAAAACTTTGGCCCACGTCAAGTCTGTTTCCTGAGGAAGATGACGAGGCAGATTTTGAAGGATTTGCGGTGAAGAAAGTTAGCGAGAAGAAAAAATTGAGAGGAACTCCTAGCCGATGTCAAGGGGATTAAGTCCGCTGAGCTTAGAGCAGAACTGGTGACTGAAACAATAGAAGATGACATAGATGGATAGAATTTGATGAAGAAGCCCCAAACAACCGAAACATGACTGATGATGAAATTATAGAATTAGTAAGTACAGCAAAAAAGCCAGAAGAGTGCAATGAAGAAGATGAAGAAACGATAAAGGAAAATTGTAATATGGAAAAAATTCAGAAAAATTTTGAAGAAATTCTGGCATTTATGGACACGAGTAACAGCGAGTTTGAAATTAAGGACATGATGACTCGGTACAATTTGTATGTGAAGTTTTTAAAAACAAGAGCCAAGGGAATGAAACAAATGTCAATTACAGAGCCTTTTTGCAATGGCTTCCAAGAAAGCTCGCATTGCATCACCTGCACCTGACTCATCGCATGTTGACCCAGTCAACCCAACAACTTCAGTCAACCCAAAAACTTAAGTCAACCCAACACCAACATCCACCACCACCTCTTCCATGTAAATAACTATGCTTCATCAATATAAGCGGATCAGGACTTCAATTATTGGTGAGTACAAACAAAATACGATCGCATTTACGCTATGAACCTGTTGATTTTTTCCCCTAGATTTTTTCACACATTTTTTTTATTTTTTATTTTTCCTCCATTTCTCGTATACGAACTTACATGTTAACCGACGGGTCTTGTCCCCAAGGGGTTCGGAAACCAAGTGGTACTCTGTAATACTGTATGTCTTGGGCTCGTATTCAGGCATGTGGATTTTGGAGATCGAACAGGGTCCTGGCCGCCCGTTATTTGGTGAACGTGCCTGATCCTGGGTGTTCTTGTGTTGCTTTGGGTCGCAGGTTGAAGCCAGTTGCATTGAGGAGCTGAAGCTTAGCTTCCAAACTGGAGTGCTAGGTAGCTGGCATGGTGAGGTCCGGCCACCCCCCCTCCATTCCCCTCTCGGGGAGGGGAGGGCTGCGTGGATGAGCGGCACGGCAGTAAAGTGTGATGTTTGCTGGTTTCCATGTTTCCTTGGGATTGTAGGGAGTTTCTACCTCTGTTCAGTTTTTTGTTTTAGTTTCTTACCGTATGGGGTTTGTTTTGTTATGTCTTATCTTGCTGGGTGCCTAACCCCTGTTGATGGCAGATAAGGAAAACTCCCAACCACAGGGGGGGGGGGAGTTTCCAGGGCCATTGCTCCCTAAAACACCTCTGAGGGGGGCCAGGTTCCAGCTCTGGTCCCTGGTAGGTCTGAACTCCATAGATAATGTCCTGGTCTAATATAAAGTACATTAGGCCGATAAGCTCAAGGGAGCCTCCAGGGCTTACCCAGAAAATGGCGTTTAATTACATTAAACACTGTTTTTTTTTCGGTTGCTTGGAAAAGGAAAGTTCATCTAGGGTAGGCAGAGCAGCAGAAGAGATGAAAATCATAGAGAAAATAGTAGGTTTAGGTGATGGCCTAAACTCAAAGGAAAATGTCAGGGATTTAAGAAGATTTATAGGACAATATGAGAAAGACAATAACCGCCCCTTAAGGGTGACGTTTAATGGTATGAAAAACATGATGAAAGTGCTTAGAAGTGCCAGGAAATTGCAGTGATGAGGTTTGCAAACTTTGGTCAATAAGACAAGACCTTTCAAAGGAAGACAAAGAAAAGCTGAAAATCAACCTCATTGAAGCAAAACGTCTAAATGAGAATAGAAATGAAGAAAGAAGTTCTTTTTTCTACATATTGTTAGGGACTGGAAAGCTAGTGAAATGGTACATAAAAACAAGGCAACAAAATCATTAGTGCAAGGGGGGAGTAAAAAACAAAGGGAATGGTAACATGTTCCTGAAAATTGTATATACTAACATAGGAGTTAGATAAAAAAAACATTGGAGTTGCAAGATATAATTCAGCATAAGGTCCCAGATATTGTTGGATTATCAGAAACAAAACTTGAAGGAAATATTTTAAATGACAGGTCAGGACAACTAGGAAAGTGGGAGGAGTGGCTGTGCTTGTGAGAGAACACCAGAAGGAAAGAGTTAATACTTAAAAACCCTCGAGAAGTTGACATAATGGCAATCTGGAGGATAAACTGATAATTGTAAATGCCTACAGCCCACCAGCAAGCAACACAGGGATAAAGGAAGAACTGGATGACAAACGAGAGGGGCCTCATAATGGTCATGAGAGTAATTATAGTACAAGCAGATAAAGATAAATGACGACTGTTGATACTGGGGGACTTCAACTTTAAAGCAATAGAATCGGAGGCATATGAAGCAAGAATGGAGGACATTTGAACAGGCAGATTTATAAACCTCATTCTGGACGCATTCTTGTATCAACACGTCATGCAGGCTACAAGAATGAGGGAAGGGGGGTGTACCGTCAGTACTGGATCTAATATTCACCAGGAAAGAAGAGGAGATGTTTGACATCCAGTACCTTCCTCCCTTGGCAAAGAGTGATCATGTCCTGCTAACCATTTTAAATATGCTTTAAGATATCGTCTAGAAAATGGGGACATTGAAACAGTTGTTAAACTCGATTTCAAGAGAGGACACTATGAGGAACTTCGGAAAAAAATTTAATGTGTAATTGGACAGACTTGTTTCTAGGCAGGGAAGTAAATGAGATGAATGCCAAATTTTGTAAAATATATGATGAAGGCACACAAACATTCATACCTAAACAGAGATGCAGGGCAAGAAAACAGAATTGTTTCAACAGAAATTGCGAGAGGACCAGAACCAAGACACAAAAATGGAATCATTATAGAAAGAGGCCAAATCCCCAAACATACCATGTATACAAAGGTTCAAAAAACAACTACACGTCAGTAAGGAGAGGCAGAGAGGAACTTTGAGAATGGTATAACAGACAAATGTAAATCAGATCCAGGCCTTTTCTATAAATTCATTAAAAGCAAGCTGCAGGTAAAGGATAATAGTCAGAGGATGAAAATTGGGGACAGATACACGGAAAATAAAAAGGAAATGTGTGACACATTAAACGAAAAGTTCCAAAGTGTTTATACAAAATGAGATCTTCAGAGAACCAGACACAATAAGAATTCCAGAGAACGGCATAGAGCACAGAGAGGTGTCTAGAGAAGAAGTGAAACAAATGCTCCTGGAGGTATGTAAGAACAAAGCAGTTGGAGTTTCACCATGAGTTCTGAGAGAATGTGCACCTGAACTCAGCATTCCACTTCAGCTGATTTTTCAGACATCCCTGTGTACAGGAGTCGTAGCAGATGTGTGGTAAAAGGCTAACATAGTTCCAATCTACAAAAGTGGCAGCAGGGAAGACCCACTCAATTATAGACCTGTATCATTGACAAGTGTAATCGTCAAAATATTGGAAACGGTAATAAAAACTAAATAGGTAGAACACCTGGAGAAAAACGATATAATATCAGACAGACAGTATGGTTTTCGATCTGGAAGATCCTGTGTATTGAATTTACTCAGTTTCTATGATCGAGCCACAGAGATTTTACGAAAAAGATATGGTTGGGTTGACTGCATCTATCTGGACCTAAAAAAGGATTTTGACAGAGTTCCACATAAGAGGTTGTTCTGGAAACTGGAAAATATTGGAGGAGGTGACATGTAAACTTCTAACCTGGATGAAAATTTTCTGACTGATAGAAAAATGAGGGCAGTAATCAGAGGCAATGTATCGGACTAGAGAAATGTCACAAGTGGAGTACCACAGGGTTCAGATCTTGCACTGGTGATGTTCATTGTTTACATAAACGATCTACCAGATGGAATACAGAATTATATGAACATGTTTGCTGATGATGCTAAGATAATTGGGAAGATAAACCTAGATGATTGTCACGCCCTTCAAGAAGACCTGGACAGAATAAGTATATGGAGCACCACTTGGCAAATGGAATTTAATTTCATCAACATGAAATGTTGATGAAATTAATACCCTATTAATACCACACTTTGTTCTGTCTTGTGTTAATGCCACATCACCCCTTCCACCTCGCTCAAATGTAGATATAAAATCGGAGATACGTAAGTTCTATTCAGTTGTGTATTTGTGAACTAAAGTCTTTGAAAATGTAATATATATATATATATATGTCGTACCTAGTAGCCAGAACGCACTTCTCAGCCTACTATGCAAGGCCCGATTTGCCTAATAAGCCAAGTTTTCCTGAAATAATATATTTTCTCAATTTTTTTTCTTATGAAATGATAAAGCTACCCATTTCATTATGTATGATGTAAATTTATTTTTATTTGAGTTAAAATTAACGTAGATATATGACCGAACCTAACCAACCCTACCTAACCTAACCTAAACTAACACAATTAAGTTAATAGTTTATGTTCTTAATATAATATAATAATAACAATTCCAATAAGCTAATTGGAAACAATTTATTGAAAATAAAGAAAATCACTCGGCCTATTAGGCAAATTGGGCCTTGCATAGGAGGCCGAGAAGTGTGTTCTGGCTACTAGGTACGACGTGTGTGTGTATATGTATATATATATATATATATATATATATATATATATGTCGTATAAATTATATAAATTTTGGATATATATATATATATATATATATATATATATATATATATATATATATATATATATATATATATATATATATATATATATATATATATATAATTTTTAATTCCAGTGGTCCTCAGTAAAGTGTACAATACCAGTACAACCAAGACATTTGTCATAACTACTCCCAAAGGGCCAAAACCACTTGAAGACCTGAATTTGACTCGAATCTCAAAAAGACCAATACCAAGATATTGTAGTGTGAATTTTTAGGAGTTTCATTTTATTCTATTGTTGAAATGATAGAAGTTTCTGTACCTTTCATTGTTTTTTTTTTTTTTTTTTTCCTCCAGGAAGCAGCAGTTTCAAAAACCAGGAATTTCATTGGCAAGGAATTATGTGCATGCGACAGGTATGGTCTGTCTCAGGATCCTCCGCAGCTTCTCATGCTGGCCAAGTTGCATGCTTAGAAGCTATAATAAGAAAATCAGTTATGACTAGTCTTCAAATAGTAAAAGAACTCAGTTGTGCTATGCACATCCCATGGTGTAAAGAAATTTTGGATGCTGTTAAAAGTGTGCTGGCATTATCGCAATCATTTTCCATACATGAAAATGAAAAAGGTCAGTATAGTACTACAGTACTGTATATTTATGTGAGTGCAAAAAAAAATATATATATATATATATATATATATATATATATATATATATATATATATATATATATATATATATATATATATATATATATATATATATATAACTGAAAACTCACACCCCAGAAGTGACTCGAACCCATACTCCCACAACTGGTATGTACAGGGACGCCTTAATCCGCTTGACCATCACGACCGGACAAAAGGAAGTGATAGCCGAGGCTATATGAACCACTTCCCCGCCGGCACTCGGATGGTAATCTTGGGCATAGCATTTTATCAAATCACCTCATTCTTTGGGGCACACGTGAGGAACACAAATGCAAACAAGCCTGAATGGTCCCCAGGACTATATACAACTGAAAACTGTATATAGTCCTGGGGACCATTCAGGCTTGTTTGCATTTGTGTTCCTCACGTGTGCCCCAAAGAATGAGGTGATTTGATAAAATGCTATGCCCAAGATTACCATCCGAGTGCCGGCGGGGAAGTGGTTCATATAGCCTCGGCTATCACTTCCTTTTGTCCGGTCGTGATGGTCAAGCGGATTAAGGCGTCCCTGTACATACCAGTTGTGGGAGTATGGGTTCGAGTCACTTCTGGGGTGTGAGTTTTCAGTTGTATATAGTCCTGGGGACCATTCAGGCTTGTTTGCATATATATATATATATATATATATATATATATATATATATATATATATATATATATATATATATATATATATATATATATATATGTGTGTTGTACCTAGTAGCCATAATGCAGTACTCGGCCTACTATGCAAGCCTCGATTTGCTTTCATTATGTATTAATTCATTTATTTTTGAGTTAAAACTAACATAGATATATGACTGAACCAAACCCAACCTAATCTACCTTAACCTAACATAACTAAGTCAATAATTTATGTTCCTAATATAATATAACAATAATAATTTAAATAAACCAATTGCAAATTTGTTTTTGAAAATAGAAAAAATTACTTGGCCTATTAGCCAAATCAGGCCTTGCATAGTAGGCCAAGAAGTGCATTCTGGCTACTAGGTACGACATTATATATATATATATATATATATATATATATATATATATATATATATATATATATATATATATATATATATAACTGAAAACTCACACCCCAGAAGTGACTCGAACCCATACTCCCAGAAGCAACGCATCTGGTATGTACAAGACGCCTTAATCCACTTGACCATCACGACCGGACATAATGAGGTGATAGCCGAGGCTATTTGAACCACCCCACCGCCGGCACTCGGATAGTTATCTTGGGCATAGCATTTTACCAAATCACCTCATTCTTTGGGGCAACACGTGAGGAACACAAATGCGAACAAGCCTGAATGGTCCCCAGGACATATGCAACTGAAAACTCACACCCCAGAAGTGACTCGAACCCATACTCCCAGAAGCAACGCATCTGGTATATGCGTTGTCCGGTCGTGATGGTCAAGTGGATTAAGGCGTCTTGTACATACCAGATGCGTTGCTTCTGGGAGTATGGGTTCGAGTCACTTCTGGGGTGTGAGTTTTCAGTTGCATATGTCCTGGGGACCATTCAGGCTTGTTCGCATTTGTGTTCCTCACGTGTTGCCCCAAAGAATGAGGTGATTTGGTAAAATGCTATGCCCAAGATAACTATCCGAGTGCCGGCGGTGGGGTGGTTCAAATAGCCTCGGCTATCACCTCATTTTGTCCGGTCGTGATGGTCAAGTGGATTAAGGCGTCTTGTACATACCAGATGCGTTGCTTCTGGGAGTATGGGTTCGAGTCACTTCTGGGGTGTGAGTTTTCAGTTGCATATGTCCTGGGGACCATTCAGGCTTGTTCGCATTTGTGTTCCTCACGTGTTGCCCCAAAGAATGAGGTGATTTGGTAAAATGCTATGCCCAAGATAACTATCCGAGTGCCGGCGGTGGGGTGGTTCAAATAGCCTCGGCTATCACCTCATTTTGTCCGGTCGTGATGGTCAAGTGGATTAAGGCGTCTTGTACATACCAGATGCGTTGCTTCTGGGAGTATGGGTTCGAGTCACTTCTGGGGTGTGAGTTTTCAGTTGCATATGTCCTGGGGACCATTCAGGCTTGTTCGCATTTGTGTTCCTCACGTGTTGCCCCAAAGAATGAGGTGATTTGGTAAAATGCTATGCCCAAGATAACTATCCGAGTGCCGGCGGTGGGGTGGTTCAAATAGCCTCGGCTATCACCTCATTTTGTCCGGTCGTGATGGTCAAGTGGATTAAGGCGTCTTGTACATACCAGATGCGTTGCTTCTGGGAGTATGGGTTCGAGTCACTTCTGGGGTGTGAGTTTTCAGTTGCATATGTCCTGGGGACCATTCAGGCTTGTTCGCATTTGTGTTCCTCACGTGTTGCCCCAAAGAATGAGGTGATTTGGTAAAATGCTATGCCCAAGATAACTATCCGAGTGCCGGCGGTGGGGTGGTTCAAATAGCCTCGGCTATCACCTCATTTTGTCCGGTCGTGATGGTCAAGTGGATTAAGGCGTCTTGTACATACCAGATGCGTTGCTTCTGGGAGTATGGGTTCGAGTCACTTCTGGGGTGTGAGTTTTCAGTTGCATATGTCCTGGGGACCATTCAGGCTTGTTCGCATATATATATATATATATATATATATATATATATATATATATATATATATATATATATATATATATATATATATATATATATATAATATAAAATATATATTTTTAATAATATCCACTAGGAAATGAAACAAATTCTGAACTTTTTGGGGTTTCACCACATCAAGGATAAAAAAAATATTTTTTTCCCCTTGATAATATGGCAAAACAAAAATATTTAGAATTTTTGTTTCATTTTCATAGTGGATACTTACGCATAATTGAATCACATGTTTTTTGTGATACTTCTTGCAAACTATACATTATATATGAAAAGTAATGTTATAATCATGTATTTTCTGTGGGGAGCACCGTCGGCTCCCTGATGCTATCCTACTGATGTAGACCAATCCTATTTGGGGTCATCAGTCACAGAGTTCTTGTTGCCTATTAGGGACCAGAGCCAGAACCTGGTTCTCTCAGAGAGCAATGGCCTATGGGCATTTTACATTTAAAGTATGTTATACTTGCCATTGACCAGGAAAGACACCCAGAATGGTAGGCAAATGAAAACAGACCACTGTCTGGTTGAAATTTGCATTTTACATCCTCAAAAGAGCAAAAAAAAAAAAATCCCCAAGAAAGAAATTAAACGAGCAACCCTTCATTCAACAAGCTGGTCGCTCATTAGTGCCACCCCTCCCCCGCCCACGGGGGAAAGGGAAACCTACCCCAGAACCCACAAATTCAGATCTTGACTGATGTGCTTGGTGATCGGACGTCGCCTCAGGCAACGATTTCTTTTCTGAATTTTTTTTTGACACCTGTTCCTACACTTGTGTGCACTGGCCTGTTGTTCAGGGAACTGGGCTGCATGTGTCTAGGAACACCTTCCCTGGGTGCTCCATGAGTACTGCCCTTGCGTGGTCTAGGTTATCTTCCCTGGGGCATTCGGGAATCACTCTCCATTAGAGGACTTCCTCACTTGTGGTTGTTCTCGCCCTTGGGGTGGGCCAGGGGTCTTGGGCTTTCCGTCTTGCCCCGGGTAGGGGGGATGTTTGTTTGTTGGTGTGGCATACTGCAGCTGGTGCAGGCTGCATTTGCTATCACATGATGACCGATGTTTTTTCTCCAGCTGGTTGTTTGCTAGTTGTGAGTTTATTTTTCTTGTGTTTGCATTCCGGCATTTTTGCTTGTTTTAGCAGTGGAGGTCTACTTAGCTTCTTATTAGGCTTTGCCTAGGGTGTAGTGGTGGTCCTCCTCTGTTGCCCCCAAGGTTTCAGCTTAGCTGGTCCCAGTGCCTGGGCTTCTTGTGGGGTTATTTACCCTACAGGCCCTGGAAATTCCCTCGGCGCGGTCGTACCATGGATACTTCTGAGCTCGAGCTCGCCTTGTCTGACTTTGCAAATTGTTCATCGCCCCTGCCTCGGGGAGGCAATCATCTGTCCTGTTGCCGTTGCCCTGCCTGTTGGGTTGGGGACTCCTACGACCCTGAGTTGTGTGGGACTTGTTCCCCGCTTGTGCTCCACTTTCTCATCCCTTATCTGATGGTCTCGGGGATCAGGTGGAGGCCACATTACACGGTTAGTTCTCTAAATTGCAATGGACCTGGATGGTTGCCCAGTTGGAGGCCTCAGAGCTCTCTTGCTTAGGTTATTAAGGACATGGATTTGTGTTCCATCTGCACCCCCCCTTCCCCCTTCCTTTTCCTTCCCAGGTGGACATGGTTCTTCCTGCTCTCCTCCTCCACCCCTGCTTCCAGCTCCCGAACGTCTGGGGGTTTTGGAGTCAGTGCAGGGTTTCTTCAGGGGGCTGCCCCTTCCGATGCAGAAGTGGTTGAGCCCATCTTTCCTGCTGAGGCTTCTCAGACGACCCAGCAGACTCCCTTCGAAGGCTTTCCCCTGGACTCCATCTTTCCTTCAGGGGCGGTGGGCATGGATGAAGGGCTCTGCCCTGGAGCCTTTGTCATAGGTTCCCAGGGCGAGTCCACCTGGAGCTCTTGGGTTCCTTTTGACCCTACTTGGGTCCTTGTGCCCTCTGCACAGGGGTTTCTTCTGCAGGGGGTGGGGATTTTCATAACCCTCCTTCCCTTTATGAATTTGAGTTTGGTGGGGTTACCCCCCTAGGTTTGTTTCCAGGTGCCTTTGGGTTCCTTGGATTTTTCTGTCTGGAGGTTTCTTCCTATCAACTTTCTCCTGCAGAGGTTCAGGAGGGGTCTTGGTGCTTGCCTCCTGTGGGACCCGGTTTACACCTCTGTAATGGATCTGGCTTTGAGTTTGGTTCTTCTTCCCCTTATTGGGTGCATTACGAGGTTCCAGTCTTCCTGGCTGGCAGACTGTCCCTTTTCTCCGATGGAACTTGGCAAGGCTTTCGTCGGACCCGCTCACTTGAGTGGTGGGAGGTTACCATGGTGTTGCATGTGTTTTGGGGTCCCTCTTTGAGTTTCTCAATGAGTGCATCTTTGCCCCTGTACTTCCTCGTAATGTTGGTCTAGTGCAGCTGCATACTCAGGCCCACTCTTTCAGCTGCTCTGGTGGCCGATGACTTTCAGATTGGCGGTAATCTGGCCCCTGTCTTGCGTTTCTTTAGTCTTCTGTAGCTGTTTTCTGATTGGTTTTCAGAGGATGTGGGAGTGCTGGGTGGAGGGGGGTTCTCGGCTGGGGGCTGGGTCCCATCTAATGTGTTGGCAGGCTGTGCTGGCTGTCGTTGGATTTAGCTTGGACCCTGGTTCTTCAGTCTTCTTTGCCGTTTTGTCCTCTGATGTTCCCGGAGGACTGTGTTGCTCAATTTCTGTCAGCGGCTTCTGCTAGTTGCCCGCCTCTTTCGGACTTGTTGGTCTTCCGGGGGGGTGGGGTCGCTCCTGGCCCTCCCGGAAAAGTCGTGCCTTGGGCTTCGTTTGGTCTGGGTAGGTCTCGGGTGCCAGTTTCTAATTCTGTGAGCTCCCCGGTGCCTTCTTTGTCTGGTTGGCAGGGTGTTTGCTCTGTATGCAGGTTGGCATCTCGGGGTTCGCTTCAGCCCTTTCATGGGTCGCCCCGGGAGACGCGCTTTTTTTTTTTTTTGCCCCCCAATGCCTGGTTCCACGACTAGTGGGCCTTTTAGGTCTTTCTTCCAGCCTTCAGTGGTATTGAGTGAACCTTCCTTCTTTCGGTAGGTCGGGTCTGGGGGGGGGGAGCCTCCTTCCTGTCCATCCGTCGGGTCATTTCCAGTGGGGTTCATGCCTTTTTACAATTCCAAAACAGGACTGTGCGGTTATCCGGTATGTTATGGACTTGTCTCGTCAGGAACAGATGCTTCCTTTCTTCTGACCCCGTGGGGGCCGGCCCAGCCTTGGCTTCAGGACTGCTTGCTTGGTGTTCGAACCCAGGTGCTCTGCCTCTTTCAAGAGGTTGGGCGGGTAAGGTACCTTGCTGGTTCGACTTCCTCCTCAGCAATACACACCTGGTTTTCTGAAGCATGTGTTTTGCCATTTGTATGGTTCTCAGATGGCTTCTTTGATGGTGTCCCACCTGCAGTCTTTGTTTTGGCAACAGTATGATGTTCTTGATGGTCTTTCTGCCATATTCTTTCTTCATTGGGTTTTGTAGGTGTTGGACCGGGTTGTTTTGGCCTTAAACTTGGGGGTTTTTCTGCCTCTGCATCTCATTCCAAATATTGTCGCTTCTTATCGTGTTGCGTTGGCAGAGTTGCTGCAGCTTATGTTCGGTGTGGATGTCACTTCTACTCCTTTTCACAAGTTTTTTTGTGCATTCTTTCATCTCCGGCCTGCTTCATGCACCGCTTTAGCCTTCTTGATCGTTGGACCGGGTTCTTTCTTTTCATTCTTCTCCTCGGTTTGTGGTAGACCCTTTGGTTCGTGATTGTATTTGGAGGCCTTATATTTTGTTCGCCTTGGCCTCTGGGGGGTCATGCTTTTCTCTGGTGTTAGGGGTTGTTCTTTTGGTCCTGGTGGTCGTTTTGTTCATTTGCAGCCATCTTCTTTTCCTGGCGAAGAATGAGTCGGCGGGCTTTCAAAGGGGTCCGTTGGTTGTGGATGTTTGGTTGGTTAGACCAGGGGTGAGGTGCACCTTGCTCTGTGTCTGGTAGCTGCTTTGCACCACTGCCTGCAGACCAACAGTTCTGTGTCGGTGGACGAAAATTGTGCTCTGGGTTGATCCTGTTTCCCCTGGTTTCCTGTTCCAGGGTTCGTGTTTCTCAGGTTGTCTACAGTGTCATTAAGTCTAGCCAGCGTGCGATCTACCCTTGCGCCCATGAGGTTAGGAGGTATGGCACTCTTTTGGGCTGTCTTTGGCAATATGCCTTGAAACAATATTCAGACATGGGTGTTTTGGAGGTCGATCAGGGTCTTGGCCGATAGGTATCTCGTAAACATCCCAGTTCCTCAGCGGCCTTGTGTGGCTTTGAGGCGCCTGTCGCGGCCATCTGCCTCTTCCTTGCTTTGAGACCTGCAGTGCTGCTGCCTTCTTTTTAAGTTCCCTGTTTGCTTTCTCCGTGGATAGTTAGCTTCAGGGAGCCGACAGAGCTCCCCCACAGAAAATCAGAGTTGAATGTAATGAAACGTCAGTTTCTGGGTGAGCCCCGGAGGCTCCCTGATACCCTCCCTCCCTTCTGTTGGAGGCTTTCATCATTCAAGAACTGAACTGGTAGATTGCTGTCTTCCCCCTCCCTCTTTGGGGGGGGGGGGGTTACCTTGAGGTGATTCCGGGGCTCAGTGACCCTGCGGCCCGGTCGTCGACCAGGCCTCCTCGTTGCTGGACTGGTCAACCAGGCTGTTGGATGCGGCTGCTAGCAGCCTGATGTATGAGTCACAGCCTGGTTGATCAGGTATCCTTTGGAGATGTTTGTCAAGTTCTCCCTTGAACACTGTGAGGGGTCGGCCAGTTATGCCCCTTATGTGTAGTGGGAGCATGTTGAACACTCTCGGGCCTCTGATGTTGATAGAGTTCTCTCTCAGAGTACCTGTTGCACCTCTGCTCTTCAACGGGGGTATTCTGCACATCCTGCAATGCCTTCTGGTCTCATGTGCTGTTATTTCTATGTGCAGGTTTGGGACCAGCCCCTCTACTATTTTCCATGTGTAAATTATTATGTATCTCTCCCGCCTGCGCTCAAGAGAATACAGGTTTAGGCTCTTTAATCGGTCCCAGTAGTTTAGATGTTTTACTGAGTGGATTCTAGCAGTAAAGGATCTCTGCACGCTCTCCAGGTCAGCAATTTCTCCCGCTTTGAAAGGGGTTGTCATTGTGCAGCAATATTCCACTCTAGAGAGCACTAGCATCTTGAAAAGTATCATCATCGGTATAGCATCTCTAGTGTGAAAGGTTCTTGTTATCCAACCTGTCATTTTTATTGCAGTTGTGACGGTTACTTTATTGTGTTCTTTAAATATAAGGTCTTCCAACATCAGTACACCCAAATCCTTTACATTGCCTTTCCGTTGAATGTTATGATTTGACTGAGTTTTGTACGTGGTTTCTATTTTTATATTTTTATTTTTTCCGTAGCGCATGAGCTGAAACTTATCTAAGTTAAACACCATGTTATTTTCTATAGCCCATAGAAAGAACTGATTTACATCTGATTGGAGGTTTGCCGTGTCCTTGTCGGGGTAGTGCTAATTAGCAGGGGTTGTTGGCTAGTTGGATGAAGAGTTGCTTGTTTTTCTTTGTGGGAATTCTTTTGCTCTTTTGAGGACATAGCTCACAATTTTCAACCAGACAGTTGTCTCTATTGATTCACCTACCTTTCTGGGTGCCTTCCCTGGTCGATGGCAAGTATGACATATTTTAAATGTAAATTGCTCATAGGTCATTGCTCTTGCACCTCTCTGAAGGAGCCAGCTTCTGGCTCAGGTCCCTGATAGGCAACAAGAACTGTGACTGATGAGCTCAAATAGGATAGTCAGTGGGATAGCTTCAGGAAGCATTCGGGGGTTCCCCAGAAACTGGCGTTTCATGACATTCAACACTTTTTTTCCAGATGTTGAAAATAATAACAAACAAACATCTACTAAGGGAAGTAAAACATTTTGTACATCTTCAGTGAGTTCCACGAAGGAATTTGGTGGCATATTACAAAAATATTTAAAAAAAGAAAGAAGAAAAGAAATGTTAGCAGAATGCAAGGATTCTGCAAACTCACTGTATTCAGGAATACAAGGATTCCCTGATTTAACTTCAACCCTTCAAACTACAGCATTGCCACCACTCACAGACCATATAAATCAAAGGTTTGTACAATATCTCACTGAATTATGAATCATGCTTTATTAACTCATGTATAAGTGTGTATATAAGGTAATGGCAGTTGTGAGGGTTGGTGTAGGGGAGGCACGTAGCATAAGTTCAATAACATAGAAAATAGTAGGCCTGCAAAGGCTGATACCGAGCACCACTTGGTTTCCGAACCCCTTGGGGACGAGACCTGTCAGTTAACATGTAAGTTCGTATACGAGAAATAGAAAGGAGAAAATAAACTAGAAATGTAAAAAGAAATGGGTATGAAATTTGTTTGAAAACAAAACTCTAGGGGAAAAAATCGACAGGTTCATAGCGTAAATGCGACCGTATTTTGTTTGTACTCGCCAATAAGTGAAGTCCTGATCCGATTTATAAAAGTCCTTTTATTGTTCCTAACTGATTATTAAGACGTCTGGCAAACATCCTCTGGATGTTTCCTGCCAGCCTGCCTGCCTGTGCCTGCCTGCCTATGCCTGCCAGCCTGCCTTTCCCTCCCTAATTCTCACTACTTCCATCCCTTCCTGCCTTCCTCCTAGCATATCTCCCTACCTTCCCCTCCCTCTTAGCATCCCTCCCTACCTCCTACCATCTCTCCCTACCTCCCCCTCCCTCCTAGCATCTCTCCCTCCCTTTCTGACTAATTCTCCCCCTCTCTCACTGATTCTCCCCCCCCCCCCCTCTCTCATACGGCCTCCCACCTAAGCTCCCTCATCCATCCATCCACCCACCCACCCACCGGTCAGCCATCACTGACGCAATGCGTGCATCTGGAGCCGACATGGTGCACAGATGTTTCTTGATTGTGCAGATATGTAAAACAAAAGCACAGAATGAACATCCAGCCTTATGGCAATTCAAAATAATAGGAATAATAGGCCGTGAATCTGTGAAGTCACAGTGGGCAAACTGGACCATCTCCCACCTACCACCACAAGCCGGCGTGACGCTTGGCGGACCCCTTCCTACCCGATCTTTGTTCGGGTAGCATGACTCCCCAACCCCAATCAGGAAATTGGAAGTTTCAGATAACTAAAGTTCGGAAACCAAGTGGTGCTCTGTACAGTACTATAGATTGTGTTTTTGTCTATGTCCGATATGAGGAAGAGAAAAAGTACTGAAGCAAGCACAGTACCCTGAGGGACTGAGTTCTTCATGGTTGATACCTGCTTCATACCTGCTTGATAGGGTTCTCGGAGTTCTACTCCCCAAGCCCAGCCCGAGGCCAGGCTTGACTTGTGAGAGTTTGGTCCACTAGGCTGTTGCTTGCAGCAGCCTGCAGGCCCACATACCCACCAGAGCCCGGTTGGTCTGGCACTCCTTGGAGGAACCTATCTAGTTTCCTCTTGAAGATGTCCACTGTTGTTCTGGCAATATTTCTTATGCTCGCTGGGAGAATGTTGAACACCCGTGGACCTCTGATGTTTATACAGTTCTCTCTAATTGTGCCTATGGCATCCCTGCTCTTCGCTGGTTCTCTTCTGCATTTTCTTCCATATCGTTCACTCCAGTATGTTGTTATTTTACTGTTCAGATTTGGGACCTGGCTCTCCAGTATTTTCCACGTGTATATTATTTGATATCTCTCCCGTCGTCTTTCTAGCGAGTACATTTGGAGAGCTCCAGTCTCCATGGTGTAGTTACCAGTCTCCGTGGTGTAGTGATAAGACACTTGCCTGGCGTTCCGCGAGCGCTCTGTCATGGGTTCGTATCCTGGCCGGGGAGGATTTACTGGGCGCAAATGCTTACCTGTAACCTCTGTTTAACGCAACAGTAAAATGTGTACTTGGTTGTAAAAACGATTCTTCGCAGCGGGGATCGTATTCCAGGGACCTGCCAGAAACGCTACGCGTACTAGTGGCTTACCTTACCTTACCTTGAGGTTATGGTGAACAAAACATGTAAATACTTATATATAACGTCTGTATATAAAAGCAAAAACAGTATGGTGGGTGGAGAATTGTGGCAAGTCAGGTGAGGTGAGGGAAGGAGGGAGTGGCAGCCAGTGGCGGGCTGCCACTGCCTGTCACTGCCACTGCCACTCAGCATACCAACTTAGTGGTTCGTTATGGTGAACACGAATGTAGATGCTTATATATAGCGTCTGTATATAGTGAATAAAAGCAAAAACAGTATTGTGGGAGGAGAATGTGGGTGAGTCAGATGACTTGATGGAGGGCGTGAGTGGCTGGCTGGTACACGGTGGTCACTCCTCGTTACTTTTTGACTCATAATAGCTACTTAGTGGTTCGTTATGGTGAACAAAACATGCAGATACTTATATATAACCTGTGTATATAGTGTAATAACCGACAAAGTATTTGTTCACTGATTGATGAACATAATTGAATCAACAATATGCACACCATATTTTGGAGTATAGCGATGATTCACTCATTTTATTATATAAATATATCAAACTTCACACTATTGAATAATATAACAGCAAAAAAACTATGAAAAATCAATCAGAGACATTGAAATAATTAGGTAATTATCTCTCTGTGGCAACTCCGGCCTGACAGCTGGCGAGCAACAGACCGCCTGGGACGCACGCTGAGTCAGCGCCTGATTTTTGCCAGACTTCCCCGCCCCATAGCGGGCAATATATGCCACTTACGATTTTTTTATTATTTTTCCCGTGATCAGTGAACACAAATTAACAGGTTAGGATTTTTTTTTTTTTTTTTTTTTTCTCCAAAATTACATGAGCCTGTAGGGAACAAAGGATATTATACCCCTAGCATGTTAAGGGTTAAACATCATGTTATTTTCTGCTGCCCAGTCAAAAACTTTATTAATATCTGCTTGTAGTTAGTTTTTCAATGTCTTTAGCAGAGGTAATTTTCATGCTGATTTTTGTCATCTACAAATGATGATAAGAAGCTATGCCTTGTATTTGAGTCTGTATCTGATATGAGAATAAAGAAAAGCAGTGGTGCAAGGTCTGTACCTTGTACTGAGCTTTTAACTCTGCTTGGACTCGATTTTATATGGTTGACTGTTACTCTTTGTGTTCCGTTTGACAGAAAATTAAGAATCAGACGTCCTACTTTACCAGTTATACCCATTGACCTCATTTTGTGTGCAATCACTCCATGGTCACATTTGTCGAATGCCTTTGCAAAATCTGTGTATACCATATCTGCATTCTGTTTTTCTTCTAACTCCTCAGTGATTTTGTCATAATGGTCAAGTAGCTGTGAGAGGCATGATCTTCCTGCTCTAAATCCATGTTGGCCATGTTGTCGAGGTCATTAGTTTCCATGAAACTAGTGACCTGACTCCTGATCACTTTCTCAAATACTTTTATTATGTGGGTCATTAGTGCAACTGGTCTATAATTATTTGCCAATGCTTTGCTCCCTCCCTTGTGTAGAGGGGCTATGTCTGCTGCTTTAAGCGCATCTGGTATCTTCCCCGTGTCCAAGCTCTTCCTCCACACTATACTGAGTGCCTGTGCTACTGGCACTTTGCATTTTTATAAATATTGAATTCCATGAGTCTAGACCCGGGGCTGAGTGCATGTGCATATTGTCAATTTCTCTTTCAAAATCTGTCACACTCGTGTTGATATCAGTTACATTTACAGGGGTTTGGATATCACGCATAAAAAAGTTGTCTGGATCTTCACTTTCATGCTGTTTATCGGAGTGCCAAACATGTCCTCATACTGCTTTTTTTTAGGATTTCACTAATTTCTTTGTCATCTTCAGTGTATAAATCTTCACTAGTACGAATAGGTCCAATACTGGCAGTGGTGTTTGCTTTTGATTTAGCATATGTGAAGAAAAATTTTGTTTTTTTCTTTATTTCCTGAATTGCTTTCTGTTCTAGTTGCCTTTCTTCAATCTCATATAAATTTTTCAGTCTCTGTTCAATGTCTTCAATCTACCTGTTTAAATTATTCCTTCTTTGTATGGAAAGTCGTGTCTGCTTAAGCATTTCCGTTAATTTTTTTCTTCTTTTGTAGTGTCATCTGCGTTTTCTTTCTACGTTGGACCTCACTGGCTTTCCTCAAAGGAACATGTTTCAGACACTTCATATGCTTCAGAAGTCAGTTTTTCTATTCCTTGTGTAGGATATTTATTACTTAGAACATTTTCCCATTGAATGTTTGTAAGTTCCCCTGTTTATTTTCTCCCAGTCTATCCTTTTATTATTAAAATTGAATTTATTGAATAACCCTTCTCGCCTGTTGTTTTTCTTGGGCTTACTATTATTAATGTTAGTTAGCACTTCAATGAGCTTGTGGTCTGAGTACGTAGTGTCTGAGACAGTAATGTCTCTTGATTAGCTCATCATTGTTCGTGAGTATGAGGTCTAGCAAGTGAAAAGAAATTACAGAACTGAGTTCTGTAATTTCTTTTCACTTGAGAATGAACCATGGAGGTTCGAAACGTGCGATTTTGTAATTAGTGTAATATATTCTTCAGTTATTCAATTCTTTTCTTCACCTAAAAACAACATGACTTTTGGTGAACTCCTCTTCCAGCTGAACCCTGATGCAAGAGCATTAGTAAGTGGGATAGAAGCCCTAAATCAGAAAATAGTAAATACAGAATATGCTGTCATATTCAATGAGACATGCATATGCATATATATATATATATATATATATATATATATATATATATATATATATATATATATATATATATATATATATATATATATATATATATATAAAATGTTGTACCTAATAGCCAGAACGTCGTACTCGGCCAGTTATGCAAGGCCCGATTTGCCTAATAAGCCAAGTTTTCCTGAATTAATATATTTTCTCTAATTTTTTTCTTATGAAATGATAAAGCTACCCATTTCATTATGTATGAGGTCAATTTTTTTTTATTGGAGTTAAAATTAACGTAGATATATGACCGAACCTAACCAACCCTACCTAACCTAACCTAACCTATCTTTATAGGTTCAGTTAGGTTAGGTAGCCGAAAAAGTTAGGTTAGGTAGTCGAAAAACAATTAATTCATGAAAACTTGGCTTATTAGGCAAATCGGGCCTTGCATAGTAGGCTGAGAAGTGCGTTCTGGCTACTAGGTATGACTATATATATATATATATATATATATATATATATATATATATATATAAAATCTTAATTTTGTTTTAAACTTTTTGTTTATAAATAATTTTGTTTATAACTTTTAGCGAACCTGTGAAAGAGATGAAATTCAACAAGAAAAGTAGAACACCTATGGCTAAAAAGAAGAAAACTCCACAAGTAATTTTCCGTCGTGGCATAAATCTTGATGCAAATCATGAACAGTACTTGGTACCTCTTCAGCAGGGTGAGTATACATTCAGTGTTGATTTAATTTGCCATACTGCTGTTATTTGTTCAACAAGTTTTATTTGATTTCCATTGTCAGACAAAGCCTTTCAGGCTTATTGAAATACCTCTAGGCCAGGGGTGGTGAACCTATGTTATGTTTTTGTCACTGTTGTCACATGAGCAAGTTTTGCTGACATGGTGTTTCCATAGATTCTTTAAACCCCACCGACAATAAATAAATACATAAAGATTTTCATTATCTTAACTGGTAAACAAATTGTGTAATCAACATACTGACCTTTCAGAAATAGCTGCTATTAATAAATAAATGTTTATTCAGGTAAGGTGCATACATACAATGCCTAAAGCCACTATTACGCAAAGCGTTTCGGGCAGCAGATAGTACACTATGACAACAGATAGTGCACTCTGCATGATTAGTAAAGAGGCAGATTTTGTAAATGTGTTAGAACTCCATTGGCTTGACTAAGAACTCGCCTAAGAATTCCATTCGCTTGACTGATGCCATGGTCTAATACATTCATATCAGCCCAGATAGCTCCGGGGAGCTGCCGGATCTTACCCAGAAAACGGAGTTTTATTACATTCAACGCTATATATATATATAAAATATATATATATATATATATATATATATATATATATATATATATATATATATATATATATATATATATATATATATATATATATATATATATATATATATATGAATGAAAACTCACACCCCAGAAATTCGCATATAGTCCTGGGGACCATTCAGGCTTGTTCGCATATATATATATATATATATATATATATATATATATATATATATATATATATATATATATATATATATATATATATATATATATATATATATATATATAAATATGTCGTACCTAGTAGCCAGAACTCACTTCTCAGCCTACTATTCAAGGCCCGATTTGCCTAATAAGCCAAGTTTTCCTGAATTAATATATTTACTATAATTTTTTTCTTATGAAATGATAAAGCAACCCTTTTCTCTATGTATGAGGTCAATTTTTTTTATTGGAGTTAAAATTAACGTAGATATATGACCGAACCTAACCAACCCTACCTAACCTAACCTAACCTATATTTATAGGTAAGGTTAGGTTAGGTAGCCAAAAAAAGCTAGGTTAGGTTAGGTTAGGTAGGTTAGGTAGACGAAAAAACATTAATTTATGAAAACTTGGCTTATTAGGCAAATCAGGCCTTGAATAGTAGGCTGAGAAGTGTGTTCTGGCTATTAGGTACGACATAAATAAATATATAAATAAATATATATATGTCGTACCTAGTAGCCAGAACGCACTTCTCGGCCTACTATGCAAGGCCCGATTTACCTAATAAGCCAAGTTTTCCTGAATTAATATATTTTCTCAAATTTTTTTCTTATGAAATGATAAAGCTACCCATTTCATTATGTATGAGGTCAATTTTTTTTTATTGGAGTTAAAATTAACGTAGATATATGACCGAACCTAACCAACCCTACCTAACCTAACCTAACCTATCTTTATAGGTTAGGTTAGGTTAGGTAGCCAAAAAAGTTAGGTTAGGTAGGTTAGGTAGTCGAAAAACAAATAATTCATGAAAACTTGGCTTACTAGGCAAATCGGGCCTTGAATAGTAGGCAGAGAAGTGCGTTCTGGCTACTAGGTACGACATATATATATATATATATATATATATATATATATATATATTTATATATATATTTATATATATATTTATATTTATATTTGTTGTACCTAGTAGCCAGAACGTCATACTCGGCCTAATAAGCCAAGTTTTCCTGAATTTATATATTTTTGTCATTTTTTTTCTTATGAAATGATAAATCTGGCTATTTCATTATGTATTTGTTTAAATTTGAGTTAAAACTATCGTAGATATATGACCAAACCTAACCAACCCTACCTAACCTATCTAAACCTAACCTAAACTAACACAACTACGTCAATAATTTATGTTCCTAATAATATATAATAATAATAATAATAATTAAATTAAACTAATTGGAAAAAAATTATTGAAAATAAAAAAATCACTCTGCCTATTAGGCAAATCGGGCCTTGCACAGTAGGCCAAGAAGTGCATTCTGGCTACTAGGTTTCACCGCTGAATTCGTTCTACCCGTCGATGCCAGGCTGTCCCTCTCCTGTAGAAACCCATACTCGCCTAATTGTGTATATTTTCCAGGACCTTAACACCTGGATATATATCTGGACGGAGTTCTAGGAGTTCTTCTACTCAACAAGCCTGGCCCTGGGGCCAGGCTTGACTCGTGAGAGCTTAGTTCAATAGGCCCTTGCTTGCAGCTGTCCGCAGGCCCACATATCCACTACAGCCAGGTTAGTCTGGCATTTCTTGAAGAAAAATATCCAGTTTTCAGTTTTCTCTTGAATATGTCCACAGTTGTTCCGGTACTATTTCTTATACTCGCTGGGAGGATGTTGAGCAACCATGGACCTTTGATGTCTATACATTCAAAAGGTGACACCCCTAGTGTCAGCACCTGCATCAGAGGAACTCCAGGATATTTCAAAATTCATAAGTATTGTAGTACAGGTTGACGATAGTGAGTGGTGTCCCAAGGAACATAAAAGTGTAGTGCTTTAGAAAAATAGGTGAGATAACATGAATGTGCCAAGTGAAGTGAAAAATTGGATGAGAAAAAGTGACCCTAGTGTTTACAGTGCAGACAAAAACATTCAAGATGGCCACCAGCAAGAAGAAAAACAAGACAGCGAGATTTTGGGGGTTTTAATGAAGAAAGCATTGATATAAGCAGTCTACACAACAAATTGGCAAAATTAGATAGTATTGTGAACTATCATGTAGAAATAAATCAGCAAATTGAAAGAAAGTAATTAGCACTTGAGTGGCAAGGTTTTTAGGTCTTGATGGGTTAGTGAAAGATTTATGCAAGGACAAGAATCAACTGGAAACAAATTGCAAAGCCATGGAAGAGGACAATAAACTCTTAAAAATAGCTTTGTAAGAAGTTAAAGCAAATTTAAACTTAAATGACTATGATAGGTTAGGTAAAGAAATTCAACAGAAAAAACAGCTTTTGTCAGTACAGATGGAGGAAGTTGCACAGAGAATTGAACAGTGCAAGAAAGATATGCAACTCACCTATGCACAAGTAGCCAAGGAGAAGGAAAAAATAGAAGCAGCAGTAAAGGAAGCCAAACACGGCAGCAACCAGGATAAAACAAACATTAGGCTGGTAGTCAGAAAGGAACTGGCATCATATCCTAAATTGGTGCAAACAATTCATCGAAGTAAGTCTCATAATTTTTGGTTGCAAAGAAAAAGAGATAACATCTCGGTCTGAAAGAGCTGTAGAAGAAGAGAAAGTAGTAGATAATATTGTTGGCCTCATGGAAGTTCTTACTACCATAGAGAATGTCTGCAACTACAGTAGGATTGGAAAGTACGTAAAAGGGAAAGATCGACCTTTGAGGATCACCTTGATCAGTGCCAAACAGATCAAAGAAGTTTTAAGGAAAGCTAGAAAATTATAAAGTGATGAAATAGGGAAAGTAAGACGAGATCTTTCAAAAGAAGACAGAGAAGCTGAAACTGAACCTCTCCGAGGCAAAACGTTTAAAAGAGAGCAGGAATGAAGAAGAAGAAATAAAAAAAAAAAATCTATAGAGTGATAGGGGTAGGTAGACCAATAAAGTGGTACATAAAGGCAAACCAACAAAATCTAATGAGAGGGGGAGTGAAGAATGAGGAGAGGGGGAACAAGTTCCTGACAACTGCATACACCAACATAGATGGATTGAGATCAAAAGATACTGGAGTTAAGTGACGTAATACAGCTGCAGACATCAGAACCAGAAATTGTTGCACTTACGGAGACAAAACTTGAAGATGATATTTTAAATGAGTTCATATTCCCAAGAGGCTACTCGGTTTGGAGACGGGACAGAAAAATTAGGAAAGGCAGTGGAGTTGCTGTGCTGGTGAAAAAACACCTAAAGGTAAACGAAATAATAATTGTCAATCCACGAGAAGTTGACATAATAGCACTAGAGATCTGCAATCAGGATGATAAATTAACGATCATAAATGCATATAGTCCACCGCCAAGCAACACATGGACAAAGGAGGAGCTAGATAATAAACGAGAGGGTCTTATAACAATAATGAGAGAAATTGTAGTGAGAGCCGTTAAAGATAGATCAAGACTATTGGTAGTCGGCGACTTCAACTTGAATTCCATAGACTGGGAGGAATATGAAGCTAGAACGGAGGATTTTTGGACTTGTAGAATCGTAAACCTCATCCTGGAAACATTCATGTTTCAACATGTTAAACAAGCTACGAAGATGAGAAGTGGATGTTCCCTCCATGCTGCATATGATATTTACCAGGAAAGAGGAAGAGATAATTGACATTCAATACCTCCCTTCCTTGAGTAAAAGTAACCATGTTTTTTTAGGAATAAAGTATGCAATGTGTTATAATCTGGAAGAAAATGAGGTTCAAGCATTTGAAAAGCCTGATTTTGCAACCCGTTCTCGCACTTGCTTACAGTCAATATTGGCTTATATAATAAGTGCATATGTGACATATTAATTGATTGGGAATATTTTAGTTTACCTTGAAAAGCTTCATAGAAAATACCGACCTTACCTAACCTTCTTAGTATGTTAAGATAAGCGTCTTATTGCTTCTTATTTATAATTATTACTTAACCTATCAATGGTATAGGTTGGATTTCAGGAAAGGTCATTATGGGGAACTCGGACATTTCTTTAAGGAATTTGACTGGAAAGAATTACTGTTAAGACATGAGGTAAATGAGATGTATGTCAAGTTTTGTGAAATATATGATAGACACAAAAAATTTATAACAAAGCAGAGGTTCAGAAATCGGAAACAGGATTGGTTCAACGGAAATTGCAAGAGGGCCAGAGACCAAAAAAAGACAAATGGAATCAATACTGTATAGGAAGAGGCTAAATCCCCAAACATACCAGCGATACAAAGATGTGAGAAACAACTACACGGCAGTGAGGAGAGAGGCAGAAAGAAATTTTGAAAAAGGGATTGCGGACAAATGTAAAACAGAACCAGGTCTTTTCTATGAATTCATAAACAACAAATTGCAGGTAAAGGATAATATTCAAGTGAAAATGGGAAATAAGTTCATGGAAAATTAAAAAGAAATGTGTGAAACATTAAAACGAAAAGTTCCAAAGTGTGTTAGTACAAAATGAAATCTTCAGGGAATCTGACACAATAAGAATTCCAAAGAACAACATAGAGTACATAGAGGAGTCTAGAGACGAAGTGGAAAAAATGCTCAAGAAACTAATTAAGAACAAAGCAGTTGGTCCAGATGGAGTTTCACCATGGGTTTTGAGAGAATGTGCACCTGAGCTCAGCATTCCACTTCAATTGTTTTTTCAGGCATCCCTGTGTAACGGAGTTGTAGCTGATGTGTGGAAAAAGGCTAACAGTTCCAATCTACAAAAGTGGCAGCAGGGAAGACCCCCCCCCCTCAATTATAGACCTATATCATTGACAAGTGTAATTGTCAAAATATTGGTAAAAAGAATTAAGACTAAATGGGTAGAACCCCTGGAAAAAAAACTATATAATATCAGACAGACAGTATGGTTTCAATCTGGAAGATCCTGTGTAACGAATTTACTCAGTTTCTATGATCGAGCCAGAGATTTTACAGGAAAGAGATGGTTGGGTTGACTGCATCTATCTGGACCTAAAAAAGGCTTTCGACAGAGTTCCACATAAGAGGTTGTTCTGGAAACTGGACACTAATTATAATCACAATCCTGATCACTAATTCCTGTAAATGAATAATTGACCACAAGTTTATTTTGAAAAGGAACCTAAAAAGTAGTTTGAAGATTCCTAGATGGACGAAATAGTGCTGTGGTGTTGTGGCTAGCCCTGTGAACATCGTGAACCGCATTGAATCACTGATATTTGAACATTGTACCCAGTCATTATCACACTCAGGCTCTTCTATAATACTATCATGGCTAAATAATACAAGTTATATATATATTATGACATTATTAGGCGATGCTGTGGTCACACGCTGAACAGCAGTGCTGTGCGCGCATGCTGCGAGCGCTAGCCTTGGTTGCTCACTCACTACTGAGGCTCCCACACCTGGGAATGTGGACCACGATTTTTTTTAAAGATGGCGTCTGTTTACAAGAACCCTGAGGAAGCTGATGTGAACCCCATGTAGCTGCGGGAGTTTTGAATGGAACATGAAAAATACAAATACCCGGAGGCGCGTTGCGCACCTGAAGCCTGGTCCTGCAGGCGCGTTGCGCAGTTAAAGGGTTAAAACCCCCAAAATCTCACTCTGTCTTGTTTTTTCTTCTTGCTGGTGGCCATCTTGAATGTTGTTTTTGTCTGCATTGTAAACACTAGGGTCACTTTTTCTCATCCAATTTTTCACTTAACTTGGCACATCGTGTTATCTCGCCTATTTTTCCAAAACACTACACTTTTTTGTTCCTTGGGACACCACTCACTTTCATCAACCTGTACTTCAATACTTAGGAATTGTGAAATATCCTGGAGCTCCTCTGATGCAGGTACTGACACTAGGGGTGTCACCTTTTGAATGTATAGACATCAGAAGTCCACGGTTGTTCAACATCCTCCCAGCGAGTATAAGAAATATTGCCGGAACAACTGTGGACATATTCAAGAGAAAACTGGATATTTTTCTTCAAGAAATGCCAGACTAACCTGGCTGTGGTAGATATGTGGGCCTGCGGACAGCTCCAAGCAAGGGCCTATTGAACCAAGCTCTCACGAGTCAAGCCTGGCCCCAGGGCCAGGCTTGGGGAGTAGAAGAACTCTTAAAACTCCATCCAGATACAATCCAGGTGTTAAGGTTCTGGAAAATATATACAATTAGGAGAGTATGGGTTTCTACATGTACAATATAAGCATTTATTAACTTATAACCTAATTATAGTACTGTACTTTCTCTTTTTATTTACACTTCCAACAGCTGGTAACTTCTGCATTTCAGACTTCTTCATTGATTCTACAATTTAACATCTCAAATATTAGTACCTTATGCAGAGTTGTTTCTTACTAATTAAATTTTTCTTTATGCCTTTTTACTATTGGAAGAGAGGAATGCTAATTCCCTTAATTCTACCTCAGAGATTTATTCAATATGTATCAAAATATTTCTAGGTCTTAACTTTTTCCAGGTTGGGTTCGAGAAATTGTATACCGTGCTGTTTCTGAAACGTCAAGAAGTGATATTTACTATCATCCACCCAGTGGCAAGAAGCTTCGATCTCGTGTGGATGTCAATAAATACTGTAAGCATTAATATTCTGCACAAATTTATTTATAAGTACCTGAAAAAAACTAGCATTGAATGCAATGAAATGCCATTTCTGGGTAAGCCCTACTTGGCGTCATCAGTTGTGGAGTTCTTGCATTTACCCTGCAAAAGAAGACCCTGCAGAGGGGTCTTGGGCTACACAAATGTAGTCCAGAAGCTCCAATCGGACTTCTCCAAGCCCTGGGAACCACAGGCAAAGGCCCTGGGGCCAAGCCCTCATCCATGTCCACCGCTCAGGAAGGGAAGATGGAGTCCAAGGAAAGACTGAAGCCTCGGCGGGAAAGAGTGTCTCAACTGCCTCCGTTCCCACATTGGAAGGTGCAACCTCTCGAGCTGCCCAAGCCACATCCTGAACTAAACCCTGCCCCGAGTCCAAAACTATCAAGACGCTTCGGACCTGAAAGCAGGGGGAAAAGAAGCGTGAACCATTCCCACCAGGGAAGGAAGAGGGGTTTGGAGGTGTTGGTCAAGTGGGGCAGATCCAGAACATCCAACAAGGCACATAACCTAGCACATTGCAACACAGAAACGAGTCAATGCAACTTGACCGCTGCCTGATACTCGGAATGGTGAGTTGGAGTGCATGGGGAAAAAAGTCCCTCATGACTCAGGGTCATAGGTGTCGCCAACCCAACAAGCAGCATGGTGGAGGAAGAATGTATACATGACACCCGGTGCCACAGGTGAGGAACGACCCTTAAATTTGCGCAAGGCGAGAGCGGGCGCAAATCTCCCCCCCCCCCCCTGTAGTTCTGAGAGTTTTGTTGCTTGCTGGTGACTCAGTTTACCCAGTCTAATGATGATCTTATGCGGGTACAGGTGGCACAGACATTGCATGTGCATTTTAGGTAGTTGCAATGCGCTAGGTTGGTTGCTCACCCGGATGCCCAGAGGCTGCCCCGTTTTGCTTATAGTGACTCGAACTTCAGACTAGATTGAGGAGGATGTGGGGACGCTCAAGACCATTCCTGGGTCCGGTGTCTTGGGCTCGGCGGCTCGCTCATTGTCTGCCTCGTTGAAGCTCTTTGCGCCGATCCTGCGGGATGTGGTTTTGCTGTTTTATGCTTCCCGGCTCGCGTGTCGGCAGGCGGTGCTTATAGGTTGTTCTCACCTTTTTGTCCTCTGCATTTTGTTGATTCTGCCATTGCGCAGTATTTTTAAGCTGCTTCGGCTAGTTGTCATCCTATATCTGATTTGTTGGTTCTCCTGGTGTCACTAAGGGGGGGGGCCTTCCCGGAGGGGTCGTGCCAGGGCTCTGGGTTCCTCTCGTCGAGGTAGGCCACTGGTGCCAGTTTCGGGGCTGGACCCGCCTTCGTCTGGTCAGCGCAGTGTTCGCTCTGTGTGAGGTTCGTGAGTCTCGTAAGGGGCGTCGGTTCATTCACGGTTCACCCCATTGACAGGGCGATGGGGGGGGGAGGCTTGTGCTGTTTGCTCAGACATGGCCCCATGATTTGTGGGTGTTTCGGGTCGTTTCCTTCAGCCTGAGTTGGCATTGGGTGGCCCATCCTCCTTTAGGGGGTTCGGGGCTGGTGGGGCATGTCTCTTCTGCGTTCCGTCGGGTCATCTTGGAGTGGGATCGCTTGGGCCTGGTCGAAACAACGACGTCCCTCAATGGGTTTCCCTTCAGTTCCCAGTACCGAAACAAGACTGTGCGGACCTGCGGTTCATTCTGGATTTGTCCTGTCTGAACCCCTGGGTTCATTGCCCCTCCTAGATGACTATGCTGTCCCAGGTTCAGCTCCTGTTGGTGCCGGGCTCTTGGATGGTGTTCCTGGACTTCCTGGACACTTATTGGCACATCCTGATTCATCTGGGGTTCAGGAACTGGCTCGGATTTGTTGTGGGGTGCCAGGGATACCGTTTTCGTTGTCTCCCGTTCGGGTTGAACCTTGTACCTTGCGTGTTCACATGCCTTACCCGAGTCGTCGTGGCCCGTCACTGTCTTTTAGGTGTTCGGGTGTTGGCCTACCTCGACGACTGGCTGGTTTGGGCTCCCAGCCGGTCCTCTTGTCTACTAGCCAGGGATTTGATTTTTTCCAGCTAGCCAGGTTCGGGTTCTTGGTGAACTGGAGGAAGTCCCATTTGGTTCCCTCCCAGGTTCGTACCTGGCTGGGCCTTGTGTGGGACTCTCGGATCGCTTCCTTGTCTCTTCCTCCGGAGTCTCTCCTTCGGTTGCGGTCCCGCATGCACTTGTTTCTGAGGGCTCCCGGGTCACCCGGCGGTTGCTCGAAGGTCTGTGCAGGAGCCTGAACTTTGCGATGATGGTCTACCCCTCGGGTCGGGTTTGTTATCATCGGTTGTTCTGGTTCCTTCGGGGACGTCCCTTCCATCTCTCTTGCGATCGCTGGGTTCAGCCTCCTGGGGTCTTGCGTCGGCTGCTGCATCGCTGGCTTCCTCTTCGGGTTTTTTGGGGTTCAGTGATTTGGCGCCTGCCTGAGCCCTCGCTCGATGTGTTCACGGACGTGTCGTCTCTTGGCTGGGGCTTTGTGACCAGTGCTCACTAGGCTGGCCAGTGGCGGTGGGGTCCATCTTTTCGTAGGGCCCACAGCGCGGTGCGGGAGTTCGCGGCGGTGTGGTTTGCTCTTTGGAGGGTTCGGATTGCCCGCGGATCGATGATCAGGCTCCATTTGGTCTGCACCCCGGTGGTTCATTGCCTGAACCGAGGGGGTTCGATGCGGTCCTTGTCTCTTTGGCACCTGTCTCGTTTGAGTTGGCTCTTCCAGATGTTCGGGCACCCTGAGATGGACCTCTTCACGTCGGCGTGGTCGCGGCGCCTTCTGCTGTATGTGGCGCCCTTCCCTGACTGCGAGGCCATAGAGTTTGATGCCTTTCATCAGTACTGGTCGAGGTGGGGATTCCTGTACAGTGCTTCCTCAGACTAACGAACCCCGCTCTATCGAATTCCCGGAAGAGCCGAACAAATTGAATTCGGTACCAAATGTTCAGTGGAACATACAAATGTTCGATTAAGTGAGGAATGTTCGTCCAAGCGGTCACCGAGGCCGAGCGTCAGAGCTGGCTGTCATCAACTATGATTCGCCAGAGTGTAAACAGTTATGTAGTGTTTTATTATCCCTACCCATTGTTTCTAGGGAGAAATGGTGATAAAAATGGTGATAAAATGGTGTCAGGGAGGCATTGGTGAGAGAGTTGTTGTCAGGAGGCAACACGTGCTCCCCCGCCCCCACCCTCCTTCCTCCACCTGACCACAGAGACCACCTACTACCTCACTCTCCTCTCGTCGTCAGATGCCAAGAGTCAATTTAATGATAATTATCGCATTATCTACACTGAAAATAGCCTTTTTATTAGAAAAATGTCATATTGGAGCAATAATAATGGTGAAAATTGTAATATATACAGTACATATTTTAAACAGTTTGAACACATTTCCTTTTCACAGAATTTTTAATACAATTGGGGTGTAGATAACAGCCGGCATTGTGTGGCCGGCCGGTCGCTCCCTGAGCCATTGGGGGGGGTGAGGGGTGGGGGGGGGGGGGGGGGGGGGGGGGGGGGGGTTGTTTCCTGGATCCCTCCCTCCCTCCCTCTAACAGCCTACGTACTGTACTAATATCTATTTAGAATAAATTTTGAGGAGGCCAATAAAACAAGCACAGGTCGTGTGAACGTTGGGCCTTGGTGAGGTGGCTGGCATCATTTGTGGTGGTGTCAGGGGAGGCAGGCGGTGTCAGGGGAGGCAGGTGGTGTCAGGGGAGGCAGGTGGTGTCAGGGGAGGCAGGCGGTGTCAGGGGAGGCAGGCGGTGTCAGGGGAGGCAGGTGGTGTCAGGGGAGGCAGGTGGTGTCAGGGGAGGCAGGTGGTGTCAGGGGAGGCAGGTGGTGTCAGGGGAGGCAGGTGGTGTCAGGGGAGGCAGGCGGTGTCAGGGGAGGCAGGTGGTGGAAAGAGGCAGGCGGTGTCAGGGGAGGCAGGTGGTGGAAAGAGGCAGGTGGTGTCAGGGGAGGCAGGCGGTGTCAGGGGAGGCAGGCGGTGTCAGGGGAGGCAGGCGGGGTCAGGGGAGGCAGGCGGGGTCAGGGGAGGCAGGCGGGTCAGGGGAGGCAGGTGGGGTCAGGGGAGGCAGGCGGGGTCAGGGGAGGCAGGCGGGGTCAGGGGAGGCAGGCGGGGTCAGGGGAGGCAGGCGGGGTCAGGGGAGGCAGGCGGGGTCAGGGGAGGCAGGTGGGGTCAGGCGGTGTCAGGGGAGGCAGGTGGGGTCAGGGGAGGCAGGTGGGGTCAGGAGAGGCAGGCGGGGTCAGGGGAGGCAGGTGGTGGAAAGAGGCAGGCGGTGTCAGGGGAGGCAGGTGGTGGAAAGAGGCAGGTGGTGTCAGGGGAGGCAGGCGGTGTCAGGGGAGGCAGGTGGTGGAAAGAGGCAGGCGGTGTCAGGGGAGGCAGGTGGTGGAAAGAGGCAGGTGGTGTCAGGGGAGGCAGGTGGGGTCAGGGGAGGCAGGCGGTGTCAGGGGAGGCAGGCGGTGTCAGGGGAGGCAGGCGGGGTCAGGGGAGGCAGGTGGTGTCAGGGGAGGCAGGTGGGGTCAGGGGAGGCAGGCGGGGTCAGGGGAGGCAGGTTGGTCAGGGGAGGCAGGTGGTGTCAGGGGAGGCAGGTGGGGTCAGGGGAGGCAGGTGGTGTCAGGGGAGGCAGGTGGTGTCAGGGGAGGCAGGCGGGGTCAGGGGAGGCAGGTTGGTCAGGGGAGGCAGGTGGTGTCAGGGGAGGCAGGCGGGGTCAGGGGAGGCAGGTGGTGTCAGGGGAGGCAGGTGGGGTCAAGGGAGGCAGGTGGGGTCAGGGGAGGCAGGTGGGGTCAGGGGAGGCAGGTGGGGTCAGGGGAGGCAGGTGGGGTCAGGGTAGGCAGGTGGGGTTAGGGTAGGCAGGTGGGGTCAGGGTAGGCAGGTGGGGTCAGGGGAGGCAGGTGGGGTCAGGGGAGGCAGGTGGGGTCAGGGGAGGCAGGTGGGGTCAGGGGAGGCAGGTGGGGTCAGGGTAGGCAGGT